CGGTGCGAGCACTGAGGATGGAGAGCCCACAGCAGCATCTTGGAAGTGGTACAGGGCCATGGATGAGGCAATTGGGTGCAGACCCTCCATCGCTCCACCTGCCCTTATTGCCTCATCTGGCCAGGATGTTGCTGTGGCCTCTACATCCTCAGTGAGCCCAGCCCCAGACACACCAAGGGCATCAAGGAAAAGAACCCAGAAATCTATTGAGAATCTGATCAAGGAGATGGAGGAGAGGGAAATGGCAAGAGAGCAGGAAGCAGTCGAAAGGGAGGAGACAAGATGGAGAGAAATGGAGGTGGAGGAGGATAGACGAGAACGAGACAGACAAGAGCGGGAGGAGAGACGACATGCTGAGGACAGAGAAAGAGAAGAAAGATGGCACCAGGAATCAAGTCAAAGGGAGGAAAGATTACTTCGCCTCCTTGAATGTATTGCAAATAAATAATGTATATGTATATTTAAACATGGATTTTTGTTTAGAACAAACATATGTTTGAAATGTTTATTTAATTTCTCTCTCACACACACACACACACACACACAAAAGGGAAGGAAATTAACTCTTCTGGACAATGGCCCTTCATAACCTATGCTGAGACTGTTTGCACAAACCACCTTCACTTGCATTAACTACACATACTAACAGTGATTAAAGGTCACCCAAACATACACTATAAACTCATTATTTACTTAAATTCATGGTGTGCCATCCCTCTAGTTTTATTTCTGAACATAAAAGGTGATTTTGGTCAAGTATATTCTGTTGGTTTCTGGTCATACAATATTGGCCAATAAAGCCTGACATTTAGAAGCCTCAAAAGCATCAACAAATAGTGTAATGAACAAAAACAGAGGGATCAAACGACATGAAAGTGAGTAAATAATGACTGAATTTATATGTTTGAGTGAACTAATCTCTCAAATAAAAATTGTATGAAATGTATATAAATTTATATAAGCCTGTAGTAGTACCCTAAAGATGACAGAGACACTTTCAAAAAAGGATTTACAAGTCGTGTTTAACATTATGTAGGCATATTCTTGAAAACGAGCTGGCAGCAGAAATCACAACAAAACGAAATGTTATAATTTCATAAGTAAACAATTTAATAAAGCAATTGAAAACAAGTTAATTAATGTGACAACTAAAAACTAATAAAATTAATGCCGCGATTTCAATATTCATAAGGATTCATTTTTAGGTGTTATCAATACATCAGTTTCGTACGTTTAGAGGCTGAAAATACGAAAGTATTGTACATTTTAGTGCCTGTAAAAACGTCAGTAAATGTACGTTTTATAGAACCACATTTTACGTAAAATACATACGAATTATCATGAGATCACGTTGGACATTTACATTTTTTAAGTATAACATCAACAGTGTTCTCCTAAGGCGAGATCTGCGAGCAGCTGCCCGACATCTCCTTTGTAATACCATTCCAAACGCTAAGGAAAACCCCACTAGGCAGGGTAAGTGATTTACTGTTGTGATCAGGTGGTGGAGTGCACACCTGTCACCTCAAGTAATTATTGAACTTGTTATAACGTCGGAGGTCACATGTTAACGTCAACATTATGGGACCACGATCCATGCTATGTACTGCGGTACGATAGGTGGCGGTATACATCTGATAAATCATGATTGTAAACCGCCATAAAAATTAAAAGAAGAAGTTTTTGGGTTTTGTTTGTTTTAGTTAATCCTCCCAGCAGCGTATGCTGTTTTGGAGGAACTTAAAACTTAGTCTGCATGCTTTTTGTTTATGATGGACGGACATACGTTAACGGATTTGGAAATGGCAGGAGAATCATGATGGCGAAAAGACCACGGACCGGACAAACAACAAAGAGATGGGCATGGACAGAGGAAAGAAGAAAGAAAGGAGAACATGAAAAGAATGTACAAAAAGGACGCAACGATAACAGTGGATTTACGAGACGAAAAAGAAGTGAGAGCATTGGATATTATAAAAGCTGTGACAGAGAAGATCGGGGAAGGAAAGATTTTAGCGGTGAGACCAAAACAAATAAACAGTTATGAAACTACTCTTGAACGGGAGGAGGACACAGAAATTTTAATGAATGGACTGGACATTAAAGGTATGACTTTTGAGGTTAAAAGACTGCATAACAGGGACTATGTTGTTTCTTTCATGCACCTGCCTGCTTACATTGAAGATGAGGCCATTTTAAATAAACTGGAACAGTGGGGAGTAATTCCCTTATCCACAATCAAAAGGAGGGTGTATCTGGGCACTAACGTTGAGGATGGCACACGCTTTATAAAAGCGAGGTTGCCGAGAGAGGTGGCCTCATTACCATATAGCACGAAAATGGAGACAGCTGAGGGGCCACAATATTTCCGGGTGATGCACAGTCACCAGGTGAAAACCTGTTGGCAGTGCATGAGCCCAGACCATGTGGTAAAAGACTGTCCAGATTTCAGGTGCTACAAATGGAGAGGAGAGGAGCCACTTCGCAAGGGACTGCAATGTGGTTAAGTGCCCGGATTGCCGAGAGGTCCTAAACAAATGCGAATGCTGGATGGAGGGAGAGGAGGAAGAAGAGGAGCAGGTGAGTGGGCAGGCGCATGAAAGAGACACAGAAAAGGAACAAGAAGGAGAAATCGGAGGAATGGTGGTGAGCTAAACTACAGAAAATAAAGGCAGTAATGAACGGATGGACGAAAGGAATAAACAGGGGGAACAAACGCAACAAGAGGAGGAAAACTGGACACAGAGGGACATGACTGTAAGCCTGGAAAATGAATTATAAAGAGCAGAACAAAAAGACAAAGTACAGAACATGGAAATGGGAAAAGAAGCGGAAAAAGGGGAAGAGGACAATACAGCGAAACCAAGCAAAAGGAGAAGATCGATAAAGGTAATACCGAACATGGAAGTAGCTAAAAAAAGTGACTAAAAAAAGTGTGCAAAAAAAATATGGATAGAAATGAGTTGGTAAAGGACTTGAAGGAGATGGGATGAAAAAAATAATTTTATGAATGTCTTTTTAACAATTGTTTTTTGTGTTATGGTGTTAAGAATGGTTACTTTTAATGCTAGAGGGTTAGTGGATATAAGACAATTTGAAAATGTTAAGATGTGTAAAAATAAAGATGTGATTGTGTTACAAGAAACTAATTGGAAAGAAGTGCATATAAGTGAAATAAGAAAAAAATGGAATGGGAAGATTTTATATAACAATGGTGATGATAGATTCGGAAGAGGAGTTGCAGTGTTAATAAGAGAAAACAGACGTAAAATGTAATGTTGTATATAATGATGAAGTTGGAAAATGTATAGCGTTTGAAATGGAATACAAAGAGAGGAAAATACTTGTCGTAAATGTACATGCACCAACAAAAGAGATGGAGAAGAGGCAGTATTATAATGTTTTAAGGAAACTTGTAAGGAAATATAAGGAAATTATTATTATGGGGGATTTTAATGTTGTGTTTAGTAAATTGGATATGGCTGAGTGAATGATTTTTAAGACAGACACAGGACGAAAAGAGTTAAAATTGCTGATGAAAGAAAATAATTTGATTGATGTATGGCAAGAAAGGAATGAAAAGAAAAAACTATTTTCAAGAAGACAAATAGTGGGGAATTTTATGTGTAAAACAAGAATTGATTTAATTATGTACAAGAAATATCGAAAGCTTTTAAGGGAAAATAAGGTACGAAGAAACAATTTTAAGTGATCATAAGCCTATTTTTGTGCAAATAGATTGGAATGAAGTGAAAAGAGGGCCGGGAGTAGACGGAACAAGATTTGTAAGAACAAGATTCCCCAGAGAAGTGATCTCACTCCTGTACAGCACCAAGCTCAACACAGCGGAAGGACCACAGCACTTTCGGGTGATGCACAGCCAGCAGGTAAAGACCTGCAGGTTGTGCATGAGCCCGGAGCATATGGTGAAAGACTGTCCGGAGTTTAGGTGCTATAAATGCGATGAGAGGGGACACTTTGCGAGGGACTGCAAAGCGGTGAAGTGCCCAGATTGCGAGGAGGTGCTCAACAAGTGTGAATGCTGGATGGAAAATGAGGAAGAGGAGGAAGAAGGTGTGAGCGGGCAGATGGATGAAGGAGACAGCGAAAAGGGGCAAGAGGATGGAACCATGACAACACAGGTTAATGGAACTAAAGAAAATAAGGACAAAGGAGAACAGAGTAACATACAGGAAGAGCAATCACAACAAGCGGGAGAAGCGGAGATGCAAATGGACATTCCTCAGACTGTTGAAAAACTTTTGGACAGAATAGAACATCAAAGGATTGTGAATGAAGAACAGACTGTTGAGATGGGCAGTGAAGAGGAAAAGGAGGACAAAGCTGGGAAACAAATGAAAAGAAGAAGATCAATCAAGGTAAAACCAAGCTTGGCTGGGGCAAGGAAAAAGGTAGTTAAAGAGGACTCATTGAAAAATGTAAACAGATATGAACTGTTAAAGGACTTGGGGGAGATAGAATGATAATTGATGGGTTTGATATATATTCTTTTCGGTCTCATGATGGTGAAGATAGTAACATTTAATGCGAGAGTACTTCAAGATGTAAGAAAGTTTGATAAAGTAAAAGAAATGTGTAAAAAAAGAAGACAATGCTACAAGAAACAAATTGGACATAAGGGTCTATAAAAGAAATGAGGAAAAGGTGGAACGAACGGTGAAATTCTGTATAATAATGGTGATGAAAGAAATGGTAGAGGTGTGGCAATTTTACTAAGAGAAAACAGTGGTGTAAAATGCAAAGAAATATACAAACATGAAATAGGGAAATGTTTGGTAGTGGAAATGATTTATGAAGAGAAGAATATTATACTGGTCAACATACATGCACCAACGAAAGAAAAAGAAAAGAGATTGTTTTTTAACATTATCAAGACAATTGTGAGGAATTATAAATATATTATTATGCTGGGGGATTTTAATACAGTTTTTAGCAAACAAGATATAGCGGAGGGCATGGTTTTCAAAAGTGATACGGGAAGGAAAGAGTTAAGATCACTAATGGAAGAAAACAATATGATGGATGTATGGAGGGAAAGGAACGAAAATAAAAGAGAATACTCTAGAAGACAAATAGTAGGCAATTTCATTTATCAAACAAGAATAGATATGGTTTTATGTACAAGGAATTTAGAACGTTTTATAGAGAGTTTAAGGTATGAAGAAACGAGTTTAAGTGATCATAAGCCATTTTTTGTACATTTGGATTGGGATGCTGGGAAAAGAGGGCCAGGGGTATGGGTTTTAAATACAGACATTTTAAAGGATGGGAATTATGTTGAAACAATAAAAGACATGATAAAAAAAGAAAAAGAAAATGAAATGTATATAGAGGACAAAAGGATCTGGTGGGAGAACGTGAAATTTTTAGTGAAAAAAATTACTATTAGGTATTGTGTGTTAAAACAAAAATGCAAAAAGAATAAAGAAAAAAAAATTAGAGAAAGACTGGAGAAGCAAGTAAATGATGAAACAGAAGATATTCAAAAAATAAAAGAAATACAGGAAGAGTTGAAGGAGATTGAAGAGAATAGATATAAGGGGGCAATGTTGAGGTGTAAAGCAAAATACCTGGTAGAAGGAGAAAAATGCACAAGGTTTTTTTTTGATTGGGAAAAAAGAAAAGGAAGAGTTGAAACTATAAAAGAAATACAGAAAGAAAATGGGGAAATGGTAGAAGAATGTGGGGAAATTTTAGAAGAAGTAAGAAACTATTATGGAAAGCTGTTTAGTACGGAAGGAGTAAGGGAGAGAGAAAAAAGGGAGTTAATGGCATTAATAAAAATGAAAGTGAGTAAAGAGGAGAAGGAAGAATGTGATCAGACCATAAGTAAAGAAGAGATAGAAAGAGCAATAAACGAATTGAACAAAAAGAAAAGCCCAGGGATTGATGGTTTAGGAAGCGAGTTTTACGTAACTTTTAAAGACCTTTTAGTAAATATTTTAAGGGATGTTTATGATGAGGTTTTTGAAAAAGGAGGAATGATGTTAAGAATGGGGATGGGATTGATGAAGATAATATATAAGAGAAAGGGGGAAAAAAC